AAATCAATTATTATTATTATTATTAAATGGAAGAGGTACATGTGCCTCAATTCAAAATAACCGTAACATGGCACATACAAAAATAAGTACCTTTGGAGTACTTTGTAAATCTGCAATTAAATATGGAGTGTGGAACCTGGGGGGTATGGAAACCCAATGGAATGCGATTACCTATTCCCAAGGTCTAAGTTAAGTCTAAGCACCATAAAATTAGTTATCGAGTTTTAATTTACCGAGACTCCGCTGGCTAAAGGCCAGATCCCCGGTGGTTCGCTCTTCCTCAAAACACGTTTAGTGTTAGCACTTTACGACAATTTTCAAGAAAATGCCATGTATTTACCATCAGAATCCTAATGAAATACTCTTCAGGATAAAGAGAAACCACTGAAAAAACGTAGTGTCGGGAGGAGCAAACGAAGATGCTATTACCTATCTATTCCCTAAGACTGCTATGGAAGTGATAGCAGCAAAATAAAAGGAATTATCGAGATCTAATTTGCCGAGACTCTGCTGGCTGAGGGGTATTCCATAGATTAGCACTTACACAATAATTTTCGAGAAAATGCCATCGAATTTACCACCACGATCCTAAGAAGTAGTCATTTTTCAAAAACGTAAAACCGGAGAGTCTGTGGGGTATCTAAGGCGAATACCCGTGCCTGGGTTCTTGTGGAGAGCTTTCCTGTCGTTTCCCAAAAATACAGTAAGAAGGCCTGCAGATCCAGGTCATAAGTGAGTAATTGTCATTGAGAATTGTGGTACTGGGAACAGGGTCGAGATTGCTTTGTTGTACGATCAGTTGGAAACCCATCTAGGTGCTTTGGATATGCTCGGAATTACGTCGGATAAGTGTAGGCCTGTTTCCACTCATCGAGTTTTGTCTTCCAGAAGAGTTACTGCGGGCGTGGCAACGTTCGGCGTTCGCGCTTCATTCGCGACCTGGTTCCAATTCATCAGCGTTTATCCAACCTTCTCCCATTTCTACGAAACGAAGTCGAGAATGTACAACGAATGGTTCTTGCTACTGATCGGTTTGGTGAAAGAATACTTAATAAAATCTCTTTGGTTTGGTTTAGGAAAATTCAAAAAAACTAAGACATAACGGTGTGGAGAAAATCTCAACGTTCATGGATTTAGTAGGTAAATCACACTGGATTAACGTGCCTTTTTGTGACAAACCGCACGTCAGTGGTTCATGTTCCATGGGTCCGAAAATTCCGAAGAAGTTCATTATCGAGAAAAACTATGTTTCAGTTGTCTTAAGTTGGGTCACATTTCGAAAAAAAAAGTGCAGTCTGTGCTAAAAAGCACGTTACGATTATGTGCCCCGACATTCCTATCGACAAAATATCGGTGGATACGCTGGAGCAAACAACCAAGAGCAAAGAAATAAAGAGTACCACAACTTGCGCCAACACTTAGAAGTCACACATTGTTCGTGTTCGTGTGACTTTGGTTGGCCCAGGTGGCTCAAAGGTGATACGAGTTCTCATCGATACGGGCTCTTAAAATTCGTATACTTTCGAGACAAACGCAGCACAGTTGGGCTACGAAGTCAAAAGAAACGAGCAAACAATTTTTGTTGGGGGGATCACAGATTCCGAATTCGCTTAAATGTTTTGGAGTAAGTGCGAAGTATGGCAGTTACAAGTGCTATTGTAACAAGAAGGTCCTTGAAGTAGTTAACGGGTCATATCATCACAAACCGATACATTATTTACCGCATCGTCCCGTTATCAAGGAGCAGTCTACAACTCCCAATCTTCGTCCGGTTTTTCAGGATCCTGCAAGAGAGTAACCAGTGTTTAGAGCCTTGTAGAGCTCAAACCAAGCATCTTGATAGGATTCAGGAAGCACCGATTCGGACTAGTTTTGGATATAAGAAAAGCATTTCTCCAAATCAGCATTCGGCCAGATGGTCGAGATGTGTTTCGGTTCCTTTGCATCAACGCGGAAGAAAAAGAAGTGGATTTTCGGCGAGGAGTATTTGGTCTTGTAGGATTTGGACCATCTAGTTAGCAGTTTTTAAGTAGACAATTTGTGTCACAAGTTTACCCGATAAAGATAGGATGTTAAGGTTCATACCGCAAGCCATTGTTGATGGACATAGCAAAGTTTAATCTCTCCGTGGGAGTATAGCGGCCAGTCCGCGGAGAACGAGTCGGATACTAGCTGCGGCTTGCTTTATTGTGGAATAAGAATGAGTATTTCGATAGAGTATCTTAAGGACATGGAGAAACTACCTTTGGGAATCTATTATAAAAATTAAAATGGCCTCTAGGGCTCAAAAAATCTTTGATTCAATTGGATTCACCAGACATTTTGTTCCAATATGGTGGAATTGGCCGATTCACGACTTGACCGAGATATTTATGAGTTCAACCCTTACGTATTCTCGAAATCCGTTCATAATTAAAGTTAGTGCTTCTTGGAAGTGATATATATAAACGTCTAAACCTATAAATATACTGGTACCATTACAATAGGTAGCTAGATAGAAATCTACCTAAAAGGATTCGTTACACAAAACCTACTTGGTCATTTGGGATCCCAAACAGCATTAAATTATGAAAAATTGTTGGAAGTGAATACCACTATTTTTCTACGGTTGGATTCCCGACTAGCGCTTTGCAAAGCCTCTAACTGCTTGTAGAACCATCTATAATGGTTAATCAAGCTTTTCCTAACTAAACTTAGTCTAAAGGGACTATTCGAGATCATTTTTAATACGTTTTGGAGGTTTCCATTAAAACGTCAAATAGTTCCTCAACACTTTCAAAGCGTCTCGAACGTTTGAGATAATGAAGTGTTTGTAATAAAATTGCGTCTCATATTCCCAGTGCCAAAAATTGGTAAAAAGTAATGAAGATTTGTATTGCCCAGTAACGTATAGTTGCGAAATTGTGACACGAACAATATTTAGATGAAAAACATGAGTAGATGAATTCTCTGGATAGCTTCATGAAGAACTTATAATTACATAATTTGAAATGTTCAACGAAAGATCAGTCAAATCTAAAGCCGAAATTCAAATTAATTCAAACAAATAAGTAGTTAACGTTTTCGTCACAGAGTTAATTTACTTTAAGGTATAACTTTCTGAAAATGTATGTAAATATCAGTCGTCTCAAAAATGTTTGTGGGGCAATCAAAGACATCCTAGAAACCGACGTTCACAATTTCAGTGCATGTTTTTCCGCTTGCCTTTTGGGAATTGCCCGATGTAAAATTGACAAGGTTTCGTGAAATTTTATTTTGAATGTAGACAAGTAAATCAGATATCGAATGAAATTACGTGATATCTGAGGGAATGTGTGGAAATTACTGTCGTTTATGAAACTTGCATAATTGAATTGATAACTTTCCAATAAATTAGTAGCTCTAGTTAAAGTTTGTGTATCTTCCGATTCAAAGTGAGACAAGCCACTGATTAAAATTACAAACCAAAATTAGACTGACAAACGAAAAAATCGATCGTATTATATTAAGATGAGGTTCCTTCCAAAACCATCAGTTGTAATGGGTTGGAGTTTTTAAAACCAAATTTACACATTCTTTACGTCCTAGAAAGAATTTTTTGATTACAATGTAACTTAGATATAAAGTGCAAAGGACAGATTCTATTTTTAAAGTGCTTTTGTTTCATTTTTATAAGAATGCGATTTATACGGTGCGAGGGGAATTTTTATGCGGAGTAAAAAAGTGCAGGGAGTCGGCGTTCAACCATCGAGTAGTAAAGGTGGTGATTAGTGTCTGGAAATTTGCAGTACGCGGTATACGCAGTTAGCGTACTACGATTTCAATACTCAACAAAATGTCAAAAGTGGTAGTGTGACGTCGCCGAACGTTTTAAAGTTGATGTAGCGTACCTAAATAAAGTTATCGAGATATTTTACACCCACATCGTTATCTAAGAGTGGAATTTGGGGTCTGCGTGCCAACGTAGTTTGTTTCCCAGCCTGGAAGAGGAGCCTATGCAGCGTTAGTTTTTCCCGCCGGCGTATTGTTTTCCGCCAGCGAGTATTTTTGGGTATTTCCACCTTGAGAAGATTAGATTTGGGAAATTTGGCAGTCCACCACCACCAGTTTGAGTTCCTGTAACGACGGAACCGAACGCCTGGAATGCGAGGTCACCGGCCTGTTCCCAGCGGATGTAAGGCGATTAGATAAGAAGCAACGCCATTACCGAGATGAATTAAGGTAGAATTTGCAGTTTTATATTTGATAAACTTGATTAAATCGTGAAGTTTGCGTATTTTTGATCGATCTGAACAATTTTATATTTAATTTTTTGGGGTTTTATGTATTTTAGGGGATTGTATAACAGTTAAAATTGATTAAGGTACCAGTTAAAGGAAATGTCCGTTATTTTTGATTATTAAGCTTTACCGTTCTTTTAAGGGCGGAGATATTTATATGTTTTAAATCCATTGACTTTCAATTAAAGGTATTAAAGATAATTAATGTTAATTCTCTGTAATTTCTCAAGGAGGTCAAGAAGTTTGCGTATAAAGGAAACCCAAATTGTTGCATTTACATACCAATCTCGGAAGCATATGAGAGTAGTAACGTCAAAACAACATTCTTCCAAATTTTGGTTACGTTTCTATGATTAATGAATGTTATACCGTGAGCTAGAATAGAACGAATTATCTTCCTATTTGCACCCATGTTATTATCTGAGCTAGCGGGTTAAAGAGGTACAGAAGGTAAGTCCTAAGTATTTTGAAGAGAGAAAAAGAAGATTTTTCACACCGACACGAACCTGAAAAATTACTGTTATTTTGTAAAGGGAAACATCCACGGCAAAATGGCGTACCTACGTTCAGTTTGTTAGGAAACCTTTACCAAAATAACGATAAATTGCGAGCAAGTTAAGAAAACCGCCGCAAATGGCACCCAATCGGTGGGCTTCGAACCATCAACGCCTGTAAAGAAGAGTTTCATGCAAATTATACCAGCAGAGCAACGAAGAAACTTTTTAAGAAACAAGAAAAAAGAAAATCAAATATTACAATCATTTTATGGAATTACGGTCCGGGTTTAAGAAAGCTGCTCGAGCAATACAGAAAAACAAAATGGAGGGCACACAAGCGAGTGAAGACATCGTTTTTAGTCAAGAAAGCCAAGAAATTTTAGAAGCAGCTCCAGTAGCCCATATACAAAACATGGATTTGTCAATCTTAATGAAAGCAATACAAGGAATGCAACAAGAAATGAAAACAGGACAAGAAGAAATGAAAGCAGGACAAGCACATCTAGAAAACAAAATGGAAGCAGGACAAGCACATCTAGAAAACAAAATGGAAGCAGGACAAGAACAGATTATCAAAACTCAAGAAAAGAATATCGAACAGTTACGAAACGAAATAAGAGGTCAAAAACAAGAATGCGAACGAAGATTTACGATTCATGAAAAGAAAATTGAAGGCTTACATCAGCAGCACGTTGGTTTCACACAGCAGGTGGACTACGAGTTCAAGAAAGTAGAACACCAGATAGCAAAACAGGAAAAAATAACTGATCAGAAGATAACTGACCTCGACAACAAAGTGGAAAGAAACACAGAAGAAATTGAAGAGATAAAAGAAAAAATAAAAGAAGAGAAACCGATTAATACACAGAAGGCGAGTACGATCATTTACAAAACTGAGGGATTAACAACATTGAAACCAAAGAAGTTTGATGGAAGCTTCCGAAGTGTGCACCCGGTTAATTTTTTGAAATCCCTAGAGAATTATTGGATGAATATGCATCTCAAAGAACAGAAAATGAATATAATGGAAGATTATTTGGAGGGATGTGCTAAAGCGTGGACCGACCTACATCAAAGCGAATGGAGAAATTTTAAAGAATTCAAGAGAGAATTTTTGGAACAATTTTGGTCAACGGAGAAGCAAAATAAAATCCGGCATCAACTAAATACGCCCAGACTATATAATGCAAGGAATGGAAGTTACACGGACCATGTGTGGTACTGGGTATCGAAAACTGCACACCTGGAACCAAGAATAAAGGAAGATCAGCTAATAGAAGCACTAGTAGATCATTTCCCAAGAGACATCCAGATGGTACTATATGCGGCCCAAGCAAAAACGATCAAGAATTTGACAGAAATTTTAGAAAAAATTCAAGAAACTAATAGAGATTGGAGAAGAGATTCAAACAGGCCAGAAACAAGAGATCAAGATCAAAGACCTTATCAAAACCGAAACCGAGAAAATCAAGACAGAAGAGAAAATAGACAACAGTATGAAAGAAGAGATCAAGACCAAAGAAATTACCAAAACCGAAATAATTATCAACAAGACAATAGAAGAGAGGCCAACCCAGTGAATTATGGAAGGGGACGAGGAAATTATGGGGCATACAGCAGAAGTTATGATGACCGAAGGCAACATGAAGGAGCTGTAGATAATCAGCCAAGAAGAAACGACCAGGGAAACTAGATGCTACTGGACAAGGAGCTCCACTTGGCCAGCAGCAACAACAGCAGGAGCAGCAACAATTAATTAATTTTATAAAAGTATATTATAACCAATGCAAAGCCAATACAACACCCAAAGAAAATCATTTACCAAATAATCAAGCAATTACGAGTGAAGATGACGATTCAGAAATAGAAGAAGTTATTGATGGAACGGAAGAAGAAAGTACATACAAACCAATGGTCTTAGGAAAGTTGGAGGGGGTGGAGAAGCGACCCGAAGAAAGCAAAATTTGGCAGAAAAGAGTAGAAGATTTAGAAGAAAAATTGGCTAAAGCACATGAAGATCTTTTCAAAGTACAACAGATAAATTTGGAACTCCAGATTGAATTAGCAGAAAGGAATCAACATCGTTCAGAACAAGAAGTGGAAAAGGACAAAGACCAACCTAAGTTGCAAGAAGAAAAAATAGGTGACAGACAAGAGAAGGTAGATGAAAGAAAACCACAAGATGTCGATTTACCTAAAACGGGGGATTTCGAGAACATGATTGAACACTATCAAGAGTTAGAGGAACAAGTTAAAGAGAAGGTTAGAACAGAGTTAATAAAAGAGTTAGTACCAAATCGCAGAAGAATTGAAGAGAGCAATGAAGAAGAAATAGTGGAGAAAAATTTCAAGATAGAAGGAATTGAAAAAGAATCAATGAAGAGCATCATGAGAGTAAACCAAAGAGATTGGAAAAAGAGAAAGAAACAGAGGAGTACATAATGTGGTAAATTTAAAGAAGTATAGGGTATCAGAACCACCCAGTAGTACCATAAACTTACCGGTAGCAACCTATACCATACCTAACCAAACCTAATACCTGAGATCCTTTGTTATCAATTTTGAAAATTCTATTTTCACTGTATATATATTTTGTAAATAAGTTTGATTTTTTATAGGAATGTTTTGCTTTTAACTCTTAGTATGTTGTTTTCGATTCAACAGACCAGTTGTATCAAAAACAAGGAGGGGGTACTGTAATGGGTTGGAGTTTTTTAAAAACCAAATTTACACATTCTTTACGTCCTAGAAAGAATTTTTTGATTACAATGTAACTTAGATATAAAGTGCAAAGGACAGATTCTATTTTTAAAGTGCTTTTGTTTCATTTTGATATGAATGCAATTAATACGGTGCGAGGGGAATTTTTATGCGGAGTAAAAAAGTGCAAGTAGTCGGCGTTCAACCATCGAGTAGAGAAGGTGGTGATTAGTGTCTGGAAAATTGAAGTACGCGGTATACGCAGTTAGCGTACTACGATTTGAATACGCAACAAAAAATCAAAAGTGGTAGTGTGACGTCGCCGAACGTTTTAAGATTGATATAGCGTAAATAAAGTTATCGAGATATTTTACGCCCACATCGTTATCTAAGAGTGGAATTTGGGGTCTGCGTGCCAACGTAGTTTGTTTCCCAGCCTGGAAGAAGAGCCTATGCAGCGTTAGTTTTTCCCGCCGGCGTATTGTTTTCCGCCAGCGCTTGTTTAAGTTATTTTTGGGTATTTCCACATTGAGAAGATTAGATTTGGGAAATTTGGCAGTCCACCACCACCAGTTTGATTTCCTGTAACGACAAAACCAAACGCCTGGAATGCGAGGTCACCAACCTGTTCCCAGCGGATGTAAGGCGATTAGATAAGAAGCAACGCCATTACCGAGACGAATTAAGGTAGAATTTGCAGTTTTATATTTGATAAACTTGATTAAATCGTGAAGTTTGCGTATTTTGGATCGATCTGAACAATTTTATATTTGACTTTTGGGGTTTTATGTATTTTAGGGGATTGTACCTATAACAGTTAAATTTGATTAAGGTACTAGTTAAAGGAAATGTCCGTTATTTTTGATTATTAAGCTTTACCGTTCTTTTAAGGGCGGAGATATTTATATGTTTTGAATCCATTGACTTTCAAATAAAGGTATTAAAGATAATTAATGTTAATTCTCTGTAATTTCTCAAGGAGGTCAAGAAGTTTGCGTATAAAGGAAACCCAAATTGTTGCATTTACATACTAATCTCGGAAGCATATGAGAGTAGTAACGTCAAAACAACATTCTTCCAAATTTTGGTTACGTTTTTATGATTAATGAATGTTATACCGTGAGCTAGAATAGAACGAATTATCTTCCTATTTGCACCCATGTTATTATCTGAGCTAGCGGGTTAAAGAGGTACAGAAGGTAAGTCCTAAGTACTTTGAAGAGAGAAAAAGAAGATTTTTCACACCGACACGAACCTGAAAAATTACTGTTATTTTGTAAAGGGAAACATCCACGGCAAAATGGCGTACCTACGTTCAGTTTGTTAGGAAACCTTTACCAAAATAACGATAAATTGCGAGCAAGTTAAGAAAACCGCCGCACAGTTAAAAATGATGCGTAAATGACAATTTCTTACTACTTCTAATAAATGCGTGACTTGCTATGGCTACTGAATTTAGCCGCCTTTATTTGTATTATTTATTATTCATATTTGGATGAGTAGTGAACAAAAAGATAAGAATCAATAACTTCCCCAGTGTTTGCTTTCTGGTTCGCATTGGCATTTCAGATCTATAAGTTATTTATGTCAATTTAAAAAACCATTGTTCCAGTAAAGCAGTTTTATTGTGACACGATCAATTCAAAACCAAAGGAAATTTTCAAATTACTGACGATTTTCATGCACATAAGGCATCTAAAGGGAATAATAAATTACCATTACTATTATATTATGATTTATTGGTAGAATGTTGCAAAGAGGTATTAGTAATTAGTATTAGCAGTTAGATAATAAAACATGATAAAAATGTTGATCGAATTTGCATTTCTTTTCTGGATGGCTGTACTCATATTTTCTTTTAGATATTCCAGAGCTTTTTAAATTTTTTTCTAGTACTTTGATTAGGCTTTTGCATTGATTCTCCAACCTCCAATTGTTTCGTATCCTATAGGAATCAGTTGGTATCAGAGTATCAACAGCTTTCAGAATTTTTAATATGTCTTCTAATATTGATGTTGATCCTGCAATAGCCACGTCATCTAAGTAAGCGACAATAAGAGTGGTAAGGAGAGGATGGATGGCACCGGCGATGGTTAAAGGACCCAAAGGGTCTCCTTGGTGAATGCCTTCAGTGGATTGGAAGGTGTATTTTCCGAAACATAAGGACGATGGTCTTGAGCAGCACTGAAAATATTTTTGGTCACCAGTGGCGTACGTTTTTTTAAACGGAGGACCCTTAACTTTAACGATTCCGCATTAACCATTTTTCTTCAAAATTTGAGAGTTTTTGGCATTTTTTTTTCAGTGAAACCGAATCGCGCTGGCCGTTAAGTTTTCAACTGACGCACAGGCTAAGACCTTTATCGAAAAAAGAAAGTTTTTGATTGGCCTTCGCCAAATCTTATATTTTTTTAATTTTTAAATGGCACCCTTCTGAACAAAATAGCTCTGGATAGCCGAAACTACAAAATTTTCACTGATACCAAAAAAACCACACGTTCAAAATTTTAGACAAAAACACTTTTTTTTCGAATTTTCAAAAACTAATTCCAGATTCGTCATTTTCATGTTCAAAAACCCCTAGATACCAAATTTCGTCAAAATCAGAATTTTTTTCGCACCCTCAAGTAGTGGTGCGCCCTTTCGTGGTAGGAATTTTGGAAAAAATTTTTCAAAATCGAATAGGGCGTACCCAAAGACGTGTCACCCTTCTTATGGTTGCTGAGAAAAAAATGAAAGAAGAAATCCAAATTTGACCACTTCTTTGGGGGTGGCTCCCAAACGAAACACGTTGGACCCTCAGTTTATTTGGAAACAGTGTTTGTCTTGATCCCCTCTATAACCCAATTTTTTTTACATGCGGTCATGTAACACCCTGTATACAAATCTTGATGTGCCTTAAGACTTTTAACGAGCTTTAAAATGGAAAGCCCTTGTGTTTAGAAGTATAGCCAATAGTTTCAAAGGGTTTTAAAAACCGACAATAGTTCATACAGGCTTCATAGGGCACCGATCTTTTCATAATATGGGATGAATTATTTCATGAAATCGTACGCCCATTGTACGTTATAACTTCTGTTTGTTTTTAAAGGTTTTGTTAGTTTGTCACACGACTTCTGCAATATCCATAAATTGGGTTTTCATTTTCCATCACAAATTTCCTTATCCGACGTCCTCATATAATGCTGTATTTGCTATCCGTCAATAGCAAATCGTTAAATAATATTTCTAGATAAGGTAAACCTCTAGCAAACAATCGACGTGAAACGAATCTGTCTCGTTAATGCTGTACGGTGAATGGATTTAATGTAACAGAATAAAAATTCTCAACAGTACAATTAACTACCGTATTACTTTTAAGTGGCGCGAAATGGCACAAATATGCAGGAAGGTATGGTATGCTTGATACTTTTGTAGCGAATAAAATTATTGAATGTTTAAGCCAATCCTCAACCGGTCTGGTAGTTAACAGATTCAGGGGGTAACTATGAAACAACTTTCCGAAGTATATAAGCGCATTCCTGAAACGCTCTTGTTGATATTACACGCCATTAAAGTGAACTCAATTTCAAATGTTCTATTCTATATGATATAAAATATCAAAATAGCGTTGAAAATGGTTCTGGTGTAACACACAAATTTGCTAATAAATAAATTTATTAGGTGTGTAACTCGTTTAATGTAAACTCTTAACATGTAACAGATATTAAAAAAAACTAATACATTATTATATTCAAGTCGTGATAATCTTAGGGTCATTCAAAGTCAACAAATTATTGAATTTTACGTGGGAAATTCACAGTAGTAGAAACCACTTGATAAGTTTTCGGTACCGCACATTGAACGATTCACTCCCGTTACTAGCGGTATTACGTGCAGTCAGTTGCGGGCCGGGTCCTAGATCCTGATAAATGTAATAGAACTCAAAATAGCACAAAAAATACCATAGCTTTCCACGAAACATATCTAGTATCACAAGAAACTGTTTGAAATCGCTATAACTGAGCGTTAAGAACA